CGTGTCCACCCGGCCACCCAGGACTCGGGAGCGTGTCCACTCGGCCAGCCTGGACTAGAGTGGACAATGAGGGACGCCCGGGGAGAAGAGACTCACCTCAGGAGGGGAGCACAGGTTGGGGGCAGAGCAGGCCCTGGGTTGGGTCTCAGCCCCACACGTAAGCTGTGTGACCTGCAGTGTGGCCCCGGGCAGGTTCCCGAGCCCCTCTGGGTTCCACTTCCTCCTGTGAGGAAGGTGAAACCCCACGTGCAGCCATCCTGGGAAGAAGCACTCAGGCCTGCAGTGTAGCCATGTCCAGGGCAGACCTCCTACAGAGCTCACTGTCTCACGTATGGCAGGAAGACCTGGACTTTCCATCAGAAACAAAACCCTTGCTTCCTTCTACTGAAATCCAGTTTTTGAAGTTTTGAAGTTTTTGACTTAAACACTCAAAGGCCCCACCCTTGAGAGACGTGGCAGCTGTCAGGGAAGGGATCTGTGCCCCTCGAGGCTGGGGTGGGCAGGAAGCCCAGAGGTGTGGGGGCCATGGGCAGCACAGACCCAGGACCAACTGCATGGGTAGTGTGGATGCGGGCAGCTTGGACGTGGGAGGCGTGGCATGGGCTGCATGGATGGCATGGGCGAGGGCAGCGTGGACGAGGGAGGCATGGCATGGGCTGCATGTGTGGCGTGGACTCGGGCAGCGTGGATGAGGGCGGCATGGGTACAGGCTGCGTGGGCGCAGGTGCTGCTTCTCCAGGGAATCTCCACAGGGGGAGGTACCTAACCACAAAGGGCAAGTCTGGTCCCTGAAACTTATGCTCCCGGCCCCGAGAAGTGGCAGCTATGGTCAGGGCGGTGCACATGCACAGGCCTTGGAGCCGATGGCCCCTCGTGCCCACAGGCTCACATCTACTCCCTGGGGGCCACGCTGAAGGCCGCCCTCGAGTACGTGGCGGAGCCCACGCTGGAGCCCAGGCTGAGCCAGGACCTGGAGGCGCTGCTGAGCCGGATGCAGGCGGAGGACCCCGAAGAGCGGCCAGACCTCCAGGTAGGCGAGGCTGCCGTGGGCCACCCCAGGCCATGACCCCCTCCCCACAGGCCCGACGCCACATACTCACCACGCACACGCCTGGCAGCCTCGCCTGGGTTCTGCCGCCACAGTCTCAGGGCATTGCCTTTTGCTTGCAGGGGGACTTGGCTTTTTATTATCTGGTTTTTTATGAAAGGTCTTGCTTGTAATGAGCCTCCTGGTTCTCTGCAACCCAGATGTGCTGCCTTTTAAATACCAGAAAATGGGCAAGGCGGGCGTGGGCAGGTTCTGGGGACTGTCCCCGTGGTCACCTTCAAAGGGCCCAGCTGTGTAGGGTGGGTGGCCACAGGAGACGGCCCCTCCTCCAAGCCTTCCTGTCTGAGGTGCTCTCACGTCCCCAGAGCATTGTTGCGCTGTGTGAAGGGAAGCTGCAGCCCACGTCCTCCTGCCGTGTGTGCCGGAGCCTCTCTGCCGTGGGGAGGAGGGTTCTCTCCATCGAGTCCTTCGGAGCTCTGCAGGGTGAGCTGCTGAACCCACATGCGTGCACCCTCTTGCGTGTGCACATATACCTACCTGTGTACTGTGTATGCACATGCACACTGCACATACACCCATGCACACAGGCACGGCTTGTGCACACACCCACTCACATAATGGGCACACATTCACACAGATCACACACACACTCGTGTACTCACACCGACACCCACACAGTCACACTTGAGTGTTCAAATAGATCATATGTGCCCATACACACATATTCACACTTGGTCACAGGCAAATTCAGACAGGCCTGTTCACACTGCACACTCCCACACCAGAATGCACACATTTACACTCCCACGCTCATGCCTGCCATGCACACTGTCCTCACATGTGGTCACATGCACACGTGGCCCTGTCCACACATATTCACGCTCATGCATATTGTGTTGCCTGTGCAAGCCTTGCAGGCGCCCACACAGGCAGAAGTGACTCAGGGTCAGCTCCGGAAGTTGTGGCATTGGTGCTGAGTGTCTGGGTGTTCGTCTCATGGGCATTTCGATAAATGGAGGCGTTGATGTTTCACAGCTGATTTTCAGCTGCTCCCACCACAGGTGCTGGGCGGGTGTGTCACAGAGCTGCGGCTGCAGCATTGGGGTGTTCGTGGCTCACTCGGATTCTGGCGTCTCCCAGGCACCTTTGAACAGTGGCCACATCTGTGTCGGCATCACTGCCTGCAGCATGGAGCCCTGCAGGGCCTCGGGAAGGTGGCGGGGTTCACGGCCACAAGGAGCCTCACAGTGGCCAGCAGGGCCCTCCCTGCCCAGTGAATGCATTTGCAGCTCAGGGTTTGTGCGGCTGCAGGAGGGGCACAGCATGGAGTGGGCAGAAGACAGCCACAAACTACGCTGCGTCTGGGAGGTGGCCGCTAACGGCCGTGGCCACATCACCCAGGTTCTTCCTGTGGGGACTCACTTGTGCAGTCCTCATGGAAGCGATATGCCTTTGGATGAGACAATTACACGGGCCCAGGCGCCCATAGGAAGCCCCAGTGGGGAGCCCTGCCTGGCCTGGGGAGAGGCAGCCCCAGCCTCTAATTAGCCAGGATGCTGTGATGAGTGAGGCAATCAAGGAAGGCGGCAGCCTCTCCTAGGAGAGTCCTTGGTGGGGGGAGGGGAGGGGAGAAGAAGGGAGGGGAGGGGAGGGGAG